GTAACAGAACTCAATGGCCTCATTCAGACGAGTGCGGATGTGCAGTGTGTGGCACCGCAGACCTGTCTACAGCGCCACACGCTGAATCTGCAGGCATTCCCCATGCTGCTACCTTGCAGCATTGGGGGGTTGGGGGGGGGGGTGACCCCAGGAGATCCTGGGGTCAAAAAAAGCCACACCTTAAAATGGCAGCAGCATATGCTGCCCAAAACCAGAGCCTGGCCTCCCGAAGCCATGCCCGGCTGCAGGAGCATTGCGACTGCAGCTCCCCAAGGTCACCAGGACTCCAGGTAAGCCTGCTGGGGCCCCAGCCTCCCTTACCCCACCCAGGGTAACTTGCCATGCACTAGAGGGCACATGGCATAGGCATTTCCCAGGGACAAGTAGCAACAGCACAAGGTGTGCCTCTGCTTCTTGTCCCTGGGGAACCAAACATCCATGCTCGTATGGATGCAGCCAATGTGTCCATTTCCCTGAACTGTCTGCTATGTTTCTCTTTGGGTAATTTTTCCCCTTTCCTTTCTCCTGCACTGTGTTCCTTTTCCCTTTCTTTCTATTTCTTTCTTTTGGTTTTTTTCCTCCTGCTGCTCCCTGTCTGCAACACACCTCTTTTTATTACTGATTCCTTCAGTGACTCCCTCTCTCTCCTTCCTACTCCTCAGATCCACTCATAGGAATAGAAAATTCTGCTTAACACTTAATAATCAAAAGCATAGCCTAAGTCAGTAAACAGCAAAAAGGAAAATTAGAATAACATTCAGCAAGACTCAGAAATCCAAGTAAGGGAAGGGATGTCAGGAGGGACAGAAAGGCCAAACTTTCTGGTGGAACATAGAAATCATTGAGACCAGTTGTCTTGTGGTTTAGGATATATTCCAACTTCGTGTATTCCTTATCAGAGCAGACAGGGCTTGGTCAGAAAGAATATTCCTACCTTAATTTCAGCATAACTTCTTTGGTGACAGAAGCCCTTCCCAGAAGGCTTTATTTTATGTTTGACATAAATCTATTGTGGCAGGTATGTCCCTTCACCATCGTGCAACCCAGTTCATTAACGCACAGAGAAACTGGCAGAGACTTTTTAGTCTTTTGCATAGAAAGATGGTGGCATCTGAAATATTCCACCTTTGTTATTTTAATGTATTTTCTGCTCTTGTCAAAGATTGTTTGATTTTTAAGGAATCCTACTAAAATGTGATACCCAAGCCACAGACAGACATGCTGCCGGAGTACCTTTGAGGCGCTCCAATCTGCAAAGGTACAGGTGGGCACAGCCAAAGAACCATTTAGAAGATGGCCATTTAGAAGATGTAAGACGAGAAGAACCATTTAGAAGATGTAAGACGAGGAACATATCTGAAGCATTTCCTGAAATATCAGCACCCTTCAGTCATCCTCCAGCATCCTACAATGCTCTGCTCCCAAGTCTCCCTGGGGGCGAAGGAGAGGGTTGCCTCTCCTTTCTACCCAGCTGTCCTCAGGAGCAGAGGCATGCAGGAATTGCATGCATCCCCGTAGCTGGAGAGCAGTGCCACTGCATGCCTTCATGGCCATTTTGAAGTGCTGACAGTCACGGGGAAGGGGAGAGGTGGCACCGCATGTCTGCATGGTGCTGAAGCGTTCGAAATTGGAAGCACGTCAAGGTTCAGAGTGCTTCAAATGCACATTTGTATGCAGTCGCCAGCAGTGCCTTGCAATGCAGTCTTCCCTTAGAAATGCCAAGAGGTGGAAGGACGAGGAATAGATTCTACTGTACCACTTCCAGTCTTTAAAATAAACCCTAAAGAACAAAATAGAACTGCAAAACTAAGGAACTTGACAGGCTATAGACAAGGCTGGAGCATTGACCTCCTTAACCAGAACCTCTGGATAGATTCATAGAAGTTAGGGGCTGGAAGAGACCTCATAAGATCATCAGGTCCAGCCCCCATGCTCTTAGGCAGGAAAGAAAAGACTGCTGGGATCAGATGACGCCAGCAAGGTGCGTGTCCAGTAGGACTGGGCCTTCTGTTTAGACTGATGGCAACAGCAGAAGAAATCCTACATGCTCAAACCTTTATACTTGACTGGTCAGAATTATGTATGTTATAGACTTGCTAAGCAACCCTTAAAATATACTCTTAATGCCCAGCTGCCCTCATGGGAATAATATGTTTGTAAGTAGCATGTGTGTGTGCCTGTATGTATGTGTGTGTGTATATATACACATAGTTTCATAGTTTCTAGGGTCGGAAGGGACCTGAGCAGATCATCTAGTCCGACCCCCTGCCATGGCAGGAAAGAGTACTGGGGTCAAACGACCCCAGCAAGGTATACATCTAGCATCCTCTTAAAGACCCCCAGGGTAGGAGCCAGCACCACTTCTCTTCTCACATATGTAGGATCAATGGAAAGTAAGGCTGGAAGGGACATCACAAGGTCCAGGTCCCTGCTCAAAGCGTGATCATCCCTAACTAAACCATCCCAGTCAAGTGTCTATCCAGCTTGCTCTTGAAAACTTCCCAGGATGGAGGTGCCACAGTTTCTCCACCTGCATAAATATAAAAATACTGCACATATAAACATACTTACAATATAAAGCTCTCAAAGGCCTTTCCAGCGGGTGGGTGTCATGGTACCTATGTTTCAGAGAGGGAGAAATGGTGCTACAAGTGCAGTCAGGAATGCAGCCAGTCTCCTGGTGTTCCTGACTTCTGCTCCTGGATTATGATGCCATACCACACCCATCTGGGTTTCTCAAAGATGATACTCTCTGGCTAGGCTTATTCAACACTATATTTTAATCTTTTCCTCAAACAAAAAGAGAACAGCCATATAGTTCAAAATACGCAGTGAATGAAGCAGGGCCCTTTTACCAGCTTATGTGTGGGCATTGTCCAGGGACACCAAGAGACAGTCCAAAAGGTATATTGGCTGACAGAAGAGGGAACAGTTGTCATGCTCCATGAGTACCACACATGTCCCAAGACTATCCCTACTTCCCTGCCGGCAGTGTTGTGGCAAGGTGCTTGTATTCAGGAGACCGTCTGCTAGTTTCTCTGGAGTCCCACTTTCATCATGGGGGCCTGTTTGCTTTGAAACAGTCTCCTTCCCCCAAAGCCCTTCTTAGTGGGCAGCTTTACATAGGAACAGCCCATCATCACCTAAGGAATGGCTGCGTGGTTCTGGCACTGGGCTGTGAGCCGGGAGATCTGAGAGATAGCAGGAGAGACTTCCTGTATGACTTCAGGGGTCGGTCGCCATCTGCTCCCCACGTGTAAGATGGAGGGGAGGAGATGCTTCCCTGCCTCCCAAAGGCAGCGCAAGGATAGTTTATTACTGTGTACGAAGTATGCAGATGCCGCGGTGAGAAACGCCAGAGGGAAGCTGGTACATGCATGAAAAGGCAGTTTGCTTTGCAGAAAGGTCATGCGTTTCCATAAGCAAAAAGGTTCCAAAAGCAGGTCTGGAAATCAGACTGAATGTGGCCAGATGCCAGCTCCGTGGAAAGTGCCCCCTAAGTGAGAGAGAGTTTTGAGCTTTAAATGAAATATCTCCTGCAACATGTTTGGTGTGAGCTTCGACTAGTCGAGTCAGGGGAGGGAATGTAGGATGAGGACAGCAAAGGAGCATAAACTTACTTACAGGATTTTTGAAGAGCCCTGCTGTTGTGGATGTGGAGCTTTCCTGTGGGTAGTTTTGATCATCAGGTGTAAAAGTCCCATGAGCAGTGGTTATGTCGTAAGGTTGGGAATGGCAAACTTCTGGACAGGTGAAGAGAGAGATGCAAAGGAAGGGAATCGCAGCCTAGATCGGTATCTTTGCTTCGATATCAAATTGCTTTCCTAGATGTAACGGTTTGGTGAATGACAGTATGCTACTATGGTACTTGCCTCTGGATCAGATGGCTGTGATTTCAAATGGCATGCACAGCCTTGGCGGCACAGTCAGCACCCATTACTCAGGATAGGGAGCCCACGTGCATCTGTATGGTCTGAGTCTAGGTGCTTTAGCACCAGCAATCCTTCCAGCTAAAGTGGATGCAACTTCCAGGGTGTGCGGCGTGTGTGCCGAGCTGTCATTAGGCACATAATGGCTATTTTGTTTGTCTACACAAAGGCTTTACTGCTGCTTATCTAACTCATTATTTTGGGTACCCAGACTACAGAATCCGTTTCTGTATAGAAGCAGATTCTATTAGATGCATATAGGAAGGATTTTTCTTCACTGTTTATGGCTCTGGTATTAGATATTAAAATGAATTTACATCTTGATTTTTCTTTTCTGTTTGGAACCCCATGCTTTTAGCTATTCTGTAATGAGAGTTTTTATAGCTTGTGAAATTCATATTAAGACTTAAATCTTTTTGGAAGGTTAGTTTATGAAATTCATACTGAGACTTAGAAGGTTATTATGGAAGCAAAATGCTGCATTTTATGGCCTTTGAAGGATTCTTAGGTTTCTCAGGCTGTCATTAAAAAGTGCTGATTTTTCTTCTCTTTCTCCTTATTCCTTTCTGTGGCACAGAGTTGCAGGCTCCCTATTCAGTTCAGCCTCTGAGTCCTCGATTCAGCCAACATAATCCTATTTTCCTATTAGTTACCTAGACAATCAAATTGCCAAAGGCACTCCTACAGTTTGGGAGTTCCCTTACTTGCTGCCTGTGAATACACTTGCACTGTACTTGACTCTGGGAGATGCAGTGCTGTGCTGAGATTTACCAAAAGGAAAATGCAAATATGCTCAGAAAATGAATGCACTCAAACATTGAACAAATTAACAAGTAGGTGAGAAGAATTTGGTTAATTAAAATAAACACCTTGCTCAGAACTCATCCCTATTTATAAGGAAGGAAATAGCCTACAATTTTTTTTATGGGCGTTTTCTACATGTTTTGAGTTCTTAAGCAGTTTGAAACATCATGTGTGTTTGTTCTTTGCCAGTGAATCAGTAATGGTGTGATAATATAGTCTGTGCAAGGCAATTGTGGCTTTTACATATCGCTTTTGTGTTTCCTGCAGGTAAATATGTCTATCAGCCCATGACTCCTGTAGAGCAGCTTCCAAGCACTGAAATACCTGTCCGACCCCGGGAGTCCACAAACACCATTCAGATCTCTGTTTCACTCACTGAACACTTCTTGAAATTTGCACCCGTCTTCCAGCCACCACTGCCCCCAGATTCTCCACGGTACTGCACAATCTCAGACCTTTTTATTGACAATTACCGCGTGAAATGCATCAATGGGAAGATGTGTTACGTCCAGAGGCAGCCTCCCCCTGCCCCCCATAAAATGAAGCCTGAGGAGGTCCCTGTTCGCAATGCCTTAATCTCAAAAGAGAGCAATACACCAAAAATAGATCACTGCTCTTCCCCTTCCAGCTCTGAAGACTCTGGGATCAATGCAGTGGGGGCTCATTATATGGAGTCATGTGATGAGGACACTGAGGAAGGGGCAGAGCTAAGTTCAGAAGAAGATTATAGTCCAGACAGCAGTTGGGAACCAGACGAATGCCCGCTTCTGTCTCCCTCCCAGTGCGAACTGGAAGTGATTGAGACAATAGAAACCACCGTGTGACACTCCACATTGGCGCCCATCTGACACGTGCTATTGATTGTTGCTTTTGTAGCATTTATATTTGCTTTCTTTCGGATGAGTCCTTTTCTCTAGCACACTTGAGGCTCCTCAAACTCCTCACAGAAGAGTAGCACCGAGACTTGCACATCAGTGAGTTAGCTGCTTGAATAACTGATTCTACCAATTAATTTTAACGAGCTCCCTCACTAATCAGATCTCCCACTCCTACATTTTGGCAATGATAACAAATTACATGGCTCTTGTAACAGGCAGTGGGCCTGATCTCAGTCTGGGTCACTTCATTTACAGTTATTTATAATGGCAATCTTGAACCATGCTTGACACTCATCTACCAGGATGTTTGCGATGCACTTGCACAATGTGGGGCTTGTTGCAAAGCATCATGGGGAGGCTTAGACACTTTGTCTGAAGAGTGAGAAAGCCAAGTAGACTTTCTTCTCTCATACAAACATGTGCACCCAGCATGGAGATGCGAGGTACTTCTCCATCTCCTCTTGCCAAAGGCTCACCCATTGGCACATCCTCTTGTCTAGGGCTGGATGTGACTCCTCTCCAACCCTGTTGATAACCTTCTTTCATTGGGGTAGAGAGGAATGCAAAGTGCCTCCAATGCTCCTCCAGGTTACACATAACACATCTGCAGACTCAGAAGCCAGGGAGTGGTTGTGAGGCCTGAGCGGATGTTCTCTCACAGCCAAGAGGATGCTTAGCTCGATCCAACCATTCTCTCTTCTGACCAAAAGAAAGAGCACTGTTGGGTTTTGGGGGAGAAGGTGATCTGTAAAAATGGAGATCGCTCTGGGGTCAGCTGTAAAGTAATAGCTTAAAGTGAGAGAGAGAGACCCGTCAGAAGCAGCCCCAAATTGCCATGAATGCACTGTACAGAACAATCTTGCATTGAACTGGGGTTTTGTCCTGTCTTTGGCTGGGATGATCTAGTTGGGGCTGGTCCTGCTTGGAGCAGGGGTTGGACTAGATGTGACCTCCTGAGGTCACTTCCAACCCTCAGTTTCTATGATTTCTATGATTTATGCCTCTGACCATCTGAATTACCTTTGGTTTGATTAGGAGTTTAGTTTAAGGTGGGGAGGTATGCTAACCAGTCGCTCCAGAGCTGAACGTGTCCAGCTGGTGTTAACTTCAGCTAATTCCAGAGGCACCTGATTCAGTGATGAGTTGCAGGACAGAATCAGTGACTTGATTTCTCACTTTCCCACCACCCTAACCTCTTCATATTTTATGTCATTTCTTTCAAATTTACACCACCTACATGCAAGCGCCCATGTACGTGTTTCGGTTAGAGGGGTTACTGATAACAACAGTATTAATACCGTGCATGTGCTGTGACACCTCTAGTTACATGTTTTGTACAGTAATTGGGAGATCACAAAGATTCAGTCCCGTGGTCTCTCTGGTCAGTTCAGCCATCAGATATGGGTGGCTTTGAAATGAGATTTTCCTAGACAAGGCAGTAAAATAGGAACCACTTTTCTGTCCTTACGGTTTAGTCCTATTTGACAATAGGGAAGTGTTCTCGGAAAAGTTCTGTATGACTGAATTGCTTGGGGTCTGTTACAATAATATTTTGCTTCTGACAGTAAATACAGCCTTATCGTATGTCTTTTGTTTGCTGTTTACCTTTCAAAAAGCATTGGCAAGAATAAGAACGAATAACCATGTACAGTTTTAGCTACCACTGCTAGACTCTTTTATTCTGTGTTGTAGACTGGAACATCTTTACCACTGTATCCTCACAATATATTCTGAATTTTATACACTTTGTAATCAACACCTTTAGAAAATGTTTAGACTACGGTACATGTGTGCTAGGAATTTAACATGAATTGTTATATAAAGTAATACTGTACTTTTTAGACTAAAAATAACACTTTGAGAGGAAAAATAATAGGTTTTCTAATTTTGATGAATTACAGTGCAATGCTTGTTAAACACATGAGGACTTTGGGCCTTGGACGTGAACAGATAAATTCTTACCAGGCACTTACGCCGTTTTGCTGACATTTAAAGGATGACTGCATTAAAGTTATTTAAGTAGGATTTTTTTAAAATATGGGGCTTATCTTTCTTGGGTAACCAAGGTTTTTATCTTAGTATTGTACTGTCTCAAGCATTCTCCTGAGTTTTATAGGTAGAAGAAAACATTATATGCAATGATAGCACTAATTTTATCTTTCAAATGTATTACGACTCTCTCAAGAATCGGGCAAGTCTGTCATCATGTGCCCTGCCTGGCTGACTTAACCTCCCGGAAGTGGCTTTTCCAGTTGACGGGCAAGAAGAAGCGTCCTTTCAGGAATCCAGCAGCAGAGAGGCCTTGCTGAAGAAAACTTCTAGAAGTAATTACAAATTCTGTTTCATGATAGGGACAGAAAATGGAAGGGACAGCTTGAGAACTTGGTAACCTAAATGGAGACCTCACCATCTTCCTTTGAATTCAGGCAAGAAGCCCTGCTTATCAGCAGAGTCATCGTGGCATCTAGTGAAAATTATTTGGGTAGTTATGGCTAAGGTTACCCTAACCTCCTCGACCTTCACTGGTCCCATACCATCATTGTATCGGGAAGCATTTGTTCTGAACTGTCAGTAATTAGCAATATTAATAAATTGCGTGTCTGTCTTATCCAGGATCTGTTCAAGTCTTAAGCACAACGGGCTAAATCCCAGCCAGTGGTGCACCCTGTAGCATTGTAGTGCCATTTCTTGGATGCAAGGCAGGCTGAGATTTGGGCAAATGTTTTAACAGGTAATTCTGTAAAACCTTTCTCCACTAATTTATATTCCATTTTCCAGCCTGCTTTTTGTGTATCCTATTTCCTGCTCAAACAAATGTGATTTTTTTTTTCTTTTGCACAAGTATGGACTTAGGTCAGTCTCTTTTACAGAATACCTAAGTCAGTCTTTCTAATGCAAGTAACTAAGGAGTGTCCTCTTTCAAGTGTAGGTGTATATGTATTTCCTCTTTAATAAAATACTAAGCAACTGAAGCACTGATTGTCATTAATACCTCTACATCATCCTTGTCAGATGGAAGTGTTTCAAGGTTCATTGAATCGTAGAGATGGGCTAGAAGGGACCTCTGGAGGTCATCAGGTCCAGTCCCTTGCCTGAGACGGGATCATCTGTATTCTAACCATCCATAATTTAAACTCTACAGAAGCCTACTGTCAACCAGGACATAATGTAGACCTAACACCCGAACCTGGCACAGATATTTCAGGGGAACCACAGCAGCCAATGTCCTGCTTCTGTTTGGTAAAGTAACAGTCACTCCAGCATCAGCTCTTCATGGTGTGGAAGCCTGTGAATAAGAAGACAGGGTAGGCTAATTATGGACCAACAAAATCAGAGGTGTGTAGCATGAACTTCCCTGAGCCCAAGCCGGTGAGTGAGTGAGCACAAACCCTGGGCGCTGCTTGGGAGTGAGGGTAGGACCAGAACAGCCAGGGTGTCTCTCCCATCCCTACCTTGCACTTTCCCTGCAGCATCTCAGCTCTGACTCTGGATTCAGCTGTGGAGAGACCAAAGCAGCAGTGGCGATATGGAGGTTTGCTGCTGTGGGAGAAAATTGCACCTCCTTTTTTTCTCCTGTGTGTTTTGGGCTGTGTGATGCACTCCACTGCCTCTGCACTGTGTACCATCATTACCTATGGTGCAGTACTGGTTGGTTATGCCTCTGACCTCCCTAGAGCTGCAAAGGATTCTCCATCACTTTCTTTTTAAGTGATGTGCAGCATCTCTGGCTGAAGCTGTAGGCTCGTTGCTGAAGTCCAAGGGTGGAATTTCCTGGACTGTGCTCCACAAGAGGGTCTGGCTAGATCAGGGGGCAGCACATGGGTCCCAAGTGACATATAAAGCATCCATGTGTGGCATGCAGCAGCATGGGGAGGGAGCAGAAGGCAGAGCAGCAAATCAGGCAGAGGAAGGGAGGCAGAATGGACCTGGAAGAGGGTATGGAGCATCATTTGTAGCACCTTCTGCAATGGTTGGGCTGCACTGAGCTAGATGATCAGAATGACCCCTACTTGCCTTGAATATGGAGCTGTTCAGTGAGTCAAGAGTCAAGATGTACTGGTCACTTTCTGCTTCAGCCATTATTTTTTCTAGTTGTTGGCTGTCCAGAGGAAGGAAGGAGCTGCATGAATGATGCGATTCGTCAGTCTTTGCACCCTCTATGTTCCTTTAGCATGGGCGTGAAGTGCTTTGGTCTGGTGATGCTGCCTACATGTCAGAGGCGAGTGCTGTTAAAATTTAATTCTTGACACAAATAAAGGCCAACTCAAGCAAAGTGGGGAGAGGCAGAGCGGAAAGCCCAAGGTGGAAGTGGAGCAGTCTTCACTCCCGTTGCCAATGCTTGCAATTCAGTGCCTGGAAGATAGCATAAGGAGCAGCTGGCATATGATGTCTGTGATGCCTGGCCCCATGTTCTCTCCTAATTACGTTGTGTCTTTTTTCTCAACTGTGTACATCACCCCTTCTGCCAGTTTTGGACCTGCCTTCACTGAGCTGAAGCTGTGCAATATTTGCTTGCTGCTCATCAGAGTTCAGTGAGCTGAAGTCTATCCTGACTGGCTGTGCTGGCCCCTTTCTATAGAGGTGAAAAAGAGAAGAGGGAGTCAGGGTGTAAGGTGGGGCTTGGGCAGGGTAATGGCAGGACTCTCAATCTTCCATCCTGCCTGTTACTCGCAGCCAGCTCAATGGGGTGTTGATAGATCCACGTGGTTGAGCTGGTGGGGGTGGGCATCACAGCCACGTAGATTTTTGTCAATGTGTTTCAGTCTCCAAGGTGCAAGCAAGTGGGCAAAATAACCCTTGCTCCTCCAGAGAGAAATCATCCACCCTCAAATGCCTGGCAGCTTTCTCCCCTCGAAGCTGAGCCATGAAAGCAAGTTCCCGCTGCTCCATGGATGGACGCTTCAGTTCAGCACTGGGGCAGTTCTGTCACCTGCCATCCTTGTCGTGCAGGCAGACTTCATTCTCATCAGTGTTCGGTGCCTGCTTTTGTGCTTTGCTTCGACAGGATGAGACAGAAAATGATTCGGTGAAAGTGGAAGCTGAACCCCCATCAATAATGGGTGTCCCTATCGCCCTAAGATGTGAGGGCTGCCAATCAATGTCACCTCTGTTTTGTCTGGATTCAGCCTCAAATGGATCGCCTGCCTCCATTGCAGGACTTGTGTTGGATGAAAAAGGGAGGGAGTGAGGTAGCACCAGCATGTATATAGTACCTCACTCCACACTCTTCCCCAGTCGCTACTGATAAATATTAAATAGGTGTGGGTCGAGGGAAAGCTCTGGGTGATCTCACAGGAAAGGTCCCAAAGAGACAACAAGCACTCACCTTATGTGCACTGTTACCAGTGGTCCCTGAGCGCTGCATAGCTGGGGTGGGGAGACACGGGTGCTCTCCAACATGCCATGCCATGCTGTGCCACCTTGGCTGCTAGGGCTGCTTTTGGGCCAAGCTGGTCCTCAGCATAAGTTTTCATACAGATGAAAGGAAAGAGTGGAACAGGGCAGCCCCCACCCAAGCTGCTGGGATGGGAATGGGGGCCCTGCTGCTGCATGGGTGGGGAGATGAGAGCACGGAGGGATGTGGGATGATGTGACAAGGCCCCCTATGACCTGGATGTGCGCTGTCTCTCTCTTTCACATGCTTGAAGAAGGATGCTGGTGCCTGAAAGCTTGCAAAGAACAATTCTTCCAACTTTTTACCCAAATAACCTTCTGTCTCTGTCCTCTGGAGTGTGGCTGTGCACTCCCTGCCTAGTCTGTCCCCAGCCAAAACAGTGGCTGGAGCAAGCCCCCAACACAGATCATATGCTACTGAATAAAGCCCTCCATATCCCTCCAAGAGGAAAGAATGAGACAGAGCCCATGGCTGAGCTCAGGAGACGAGCGTGGTGCTGTTTCTGCTGGCCTGACAACCTGCAGCACACCCTGTGTCTGTAGCACTGTGCACTGAACAGCGCCCCAGCCAAAGAACTGCTCAGCAGAGAAAAAATATGTACAAAATTGCCATTCCCATATTAATATTTAATTCCTCAAGAACCAGCAGGATGCTGTAGCAATGGAGGAAGGTGGTGGCCTAGTTATTATGGTGCACTGAAAGACTGCTTCGCTTGAACCCTGTTTCCTTGTGCTCTCTGGGGGAACCAGGCCTGTGAAGCAGGGGTGAAGCAATCTTTCCTCCCCACATTACTGCTGCACTCTAACTGTAGCACCTGGGATGCTCTCCGGGGCACCAGCTCTGCTTTCTGTCCTGCTCCGCAACACCGTCCTGGTTCTGGCACTGTAAAAGGGGCGAGTGCCTGAGCAACGGTAGCAAGTGTGCCAGGAGGGACTCAGCACTTGGTGTAATTTATTACATTCAACAATAAAAAAATAAATTAAAACCAGAGGGAGACTGAGCTTAAAGAATGAATCTGAAAAGGCTGTGGGAAAATGCTGCTTAGCCAAGGATAGTTTTCTTGTCCGTCCTGAACTCACTCCAGGTACAATACCAGCAGCAGCACAGGGAGTGGTGACCTGAGACCAGCCCAGGTCTCACTGCAAATCTTTGTACAGCCCCATAAGACAGCCCAAATGCTATAGATAGGTGTATCAAGTCAGCCAGGCCAAAGACATAGGATGGTGTGGGCCCTCAATTACTGATTCCTGAGCACAAAAATTATGGCAGTGCCCTTATTGCTAGGCTCCTTGAGATTACTAAAAAATCATGTCCTCCCAAAATGTATGTGCCTCCTTTAGCAAAGGCTGCACTGTGGATTTAGGATTGAGCTAGCAGTTGTTTTTCCTGTGCCAACGACACGCATAGCAAATAATCTATATCTTTAACCCAACGCACGTCCTAGAAAGAGCTGTGGAATACAGGAGTGTTGACTAGCTGTTCCCCAAAGAAACCTTTTTAATTTAGAAAGCAAAGCTAACCTTATCTCTGTCTCCTTCCATGCATGCTTTCATGGCAGTGATGGCTTCTGGGTAATTAGGACACAAACAAACAATACAGTACACCCCCTAATTTATGCGAGTCTTTGCAGGGCAATTTCCTAACAAAATGTAGTCCCTGTCTGAGACATTGGGTGAATGATTTGGACCAGCACGTTAACCTAGGGCATTTAGCTTTATCTTGAGAGGGAGGGAGAGGGGGAAGAGATGCAGCATATATGGTAAAAGAAAGCGTTTCTATGGTACCCCTCTCCAGTCAGGTTATAGAGCAAGTGAATGAGAAATTGTGGTAAGAAAGAAGAGTTTCTTTCCATGGTGGATCCAGTATAAGGAAGTGAATCACAGCCAACGATTACAAATAGTTACTTGTTCCTTAGCAAGCAATCTTCCCCACGGCGTTTGGCAAAAAAATGTTCATATTCAAAGAAAGGAAGGATTAACCTCTCATAGCTGCCAAGGCATTAATAGCCTCCCGCTGGGCAAAGACAATAGCCCCAAACCAGACACTTGCTTTAAGAACTACAGGCAATCATTGTCGTGGAATAGTGAATGCATTAATTATATGACCAACAAAATAGACAGAGGACAAACAGATGTGGTGCTTCATGGACATAAGACACAACACTGCCATTGAGAGTTTGGAGCTTGGGGGTACTGCAATTGCCCAGCAGAGAGATTGTGTGCCAGTGAGTGATGAAGGTAGGTCTTCAGGCCACTTCTCCAAGCAGTCCAATGAGCTCAGAGGTGCAATGATTAGCACTTTCTTTCCCACCTTTCTGTAGCCATGAGTCGTCCAGCTCTGCTGGGCCTTGCGTTTGACCTGTGTCTGTTAAAAAAGCCGAGATGCGTAAACAAAGAATGGGTGAGGAAGGGCTGAGCCGCTTGTATCTCTGTTGGCAAGGGAGGCAACATCCTCTCTTGGACCAGCTTGGATGCAGACTTCAAGGGCTGCTTTTAGTGTTGTCATTTCCTGTACAAAGCAAGCTCTGCTTTATCCATTTCAAAGACCCATCTCAATTTCCAGGTGCAACCCAGACTT